GGGGGAGAGAGACTTTGAGGCAAGGCACTGGGGTCTCTTGCCCCAGTACCCAGGCCCTCACCCTTCTGTAGATCCCTTCTGGTGACCTGTAGATCACCATAACCCTGAGCTGTCAGGCAAGGTGCACCGTGAGGGTGGGTTTGTCAGACAGGAACAGAGGAATCACAGAAACTGGCCACATACGAGGCGGGATGCTGAGCGAGAAGATGCACTGCTAGACGAGGGTGATCACAAGTGTCACACGATGTTAGCAAAAGAAAAGTGAGATGTGATCAGAGAAACATTCTAAAGCCAACAACACAAACAAATGGGATGCTGAGTAAGAGAACATACTGTAACCATAACAAGATATGGGAGCCACAATTATCACAAGAAACTTAACAGAAACAGCGCAGCGCACATTATATGATATTACAGTTTGCCCCACCCTCACCAACCAGGGGCCATCAGGACAATTCTGGGCCTAACTACATAATGGGGAAACCACCCCCAACACCTGACAACAGGAAGGAGACAACACCCCCATTAGTTAAGAAAAAAGAGGAGGAAGGAGGCCAGATTAGAGAAAAAGAGGTGAAGAGATGACACAGAGACCCCAGTGCCATTGTCCGCTGCCATGTGTACCCACTCCTGCTCTGTTTGGACTGTACTATCACTTGCTGATTAGAAACCCAAAGAAACCCCAGGGCCCCATTCTGCCCAGACATGCACCCACTCCAAACCCCTTTACAAATAAATTTTCACTTGAATAAACATTACTCCTTCCTGCTTTAAACCTGCATCTTTCTATCATTCTTTAGTTGCAAGAAGACCAGATTTCAATGGCCAGTAACATTCCCAGGGACACAAACATCTGGTTGTACCATGGTCCTGCCTGTGGCAGCTTTTCATTCCTTCTGAGGTCATCACACGAGCCAGGGGAGGGACACACTCTGTCCATACATTCCCAGGGCACAGAGACACTGGATTTCTGTAGGGCCTCAGCCCAGGTATGCCACAAAGAAGGACCTGGAACACCCCAGACTCTGGGCTAAGGCCTGCCCAGGCTCCTGAAAGAAGTGACCCCAGCCCCTGAAATGGCTGTCTCACACAAGCTTGTCTTCTGGAAGCTTCGGAAGAAGAAAGAGCCAGAAGCTGGGCTCTGAATTGACAGAGGAAGGGGGGCCCCATAAGCACTGATGGCTCTGAATGGAGGCCGAGGCTGATCAGGGAGGGTCAGTATCCCCTGGACCTGCTGTGCCTTTAGAATCCAGCATGGGTCTCTATCCATTTCCAGTGCCTTCCCTATCCTTTCCTCTTTCAATACTGAGCACCAGTTTACTCTGGGTCCCATGCTGAGTGGGGGAGGGACAGAAATGAAGTAGCTGCCATTCCTGGCTGCAGGAGTTCACAGTCCTGCCTCTAGTATAGGGCCACTGGGTGATACCTCTACTGTCATAGGATATGACCCATGCCCTGGATGAAGCACAGCCCAAGCAAAATGGGAGACACTGGCCCGGGTTTGGCAGGGGAGCCAGAGAGGCTGGGAGTTGGGGGTGGTGGCAGGACCCAGCCCAGAAAGCTGGAGAAGAGAGAGGGCAGGGCAGAAGGAGGGAAGGACAGACTATGACCTCAGAGATCAAGCAGGGCTAATCTGTGCATGGGGAGCAGTGAAGAGAGAAAGCCCTGGGACTGGTCCCCGAGGACTGGGAGACCAGGGGTGCTCCAGAGACAGAAGTTCTCTCAGGAGAAGTCCCATGTGGGCTTGGAGGTGGGATGTCCAGGGGCTGGGCCTCTCCAGGTCCCTGGCCGTGGAGCTTGGCTGAACTCCCAGGCCCCCATAGGGCGGTACAGGGGCTCCCTGTGGGTAAGGGGGAGCCTGTTGGCCACAACATCACAGGCTCAGGCACCCAGACTGACACCCTGAAGTCCAGCTCCTGTTCTGCTGCTCCAGACCAGAGTGTCATCTGTGTGCAGGGCCCAGGGAGAGCCCACCCCATCCTCTGAGGAGAGGATGTGAGCTTAAATGGGGAGAAGCCCCCAAGTGACTGGCCCTCTCCTGGCCTCACTGGGTGGCTGCACTGTGAGGGCTGGGTCTGCTGTTGTCTCTGCACCGCGCCCTGGAGCCTGTCTCAGTCTCAGGGGCTGGCATTCTCTCTGGGCTCCTCCAGGGCCCTCCCCACTGTGGGTGCTTCCAAGGGGACTCATCTCAGGTCATCCTCACAGCTGGACTTTGGCCAGAACTTCCTGGAAGGGACCCACTCACCAGACTCCCGGTCCCTAGATTCTATTAACTAAAGAAGAATTAACGTGATTTCTATTTCGGAGAAAGAGAGCTTTATTCTTTATAAAGAGTGGCAGCCTGCTGGGGACCCATTCCAACAGGTTGGGAAGCAGAGGCCTGGCCAGAAGCCAGTTACTAAGCAGGGTGGGAAAGCATACATATTAAACAAGCTACAAGAGGAATCATGAATATTCATGAAGGGAAATCATATGCATGTAAGTGTGCTCTATGTTTCCTAACCTCTCAGGGCTGGGAAGTTAACTTTAAGGAATTTCTGGGGCCTCTTTGGCTGAGAGGGGTCCATTCAGTTACCAAAGGGCTTAGAATCTTCACAACATCTATACTCCTGTCCCAGCATGGGCACACCTCTAAGCACACCCTGTACATATGGGGTTGGCTGTGCTCCTGAGAATGCCTCCTCAAGGAGGCTACCTCAGTCCTCGATAATAAAGATGAATAAATTCACAGCACATAATTGCCCCTTTGAAGAAAAACATCATAGCACACAGCTTCTTTGATTAACCACCTGTGAAGTTTTTTAACAGCTTTGAAGAGCCCTGAGCAGACAGCAGAGCTGTGAGCTCTCCCTCCCTCCAGGTCTTATCAGAACACATTTCAAGGACTCTGGACCAAGAGCAATGGCTTACGCTCCTAGAACTGTAGTCCTAGCATGCTGGGAGGCCACAGCAGAAGGATCGCTTGAGCTCAGAAGTTCAGCACCAGCCTGAGCAAGAGTGAGACCCCCATCTCTACTAAAAATAGGGGAAAAAATAACTGGAAATTGTTGTGGGTGCCTGTAGTCCCAGCTAGTCTGGTGGCTGAGGCAGGAGGATCACTTGAGGTCAGGAGTTCAAGACCAGCCTGAGCAAATGGACACCCTGTCTCTTCTAAATATAGAAAAATTAGGCAGGCATTGTGGCTCATGTGTGTAGTCCCAGCTACTTGGGAAGCTGAGGCAGGAGAATCACTTAAACCCAGGAGTCTGAGGTTACTGTGAGCTAGGCTGAGGCCATGGCACTCTATCCAGGGCAACAGAGTGAGAGAGAGACTCCATCTCAAAAAATAAGGAAAAAAAAAAAAACCAGAATGACTCTGATAAGCTGGTCTCACAGAGAAGAGAAAAAGAATGAAAAAACAGATGCAGCCATTTCACAGCCCTCTTGCTATTAGTTGGCCACCATAACTATTCTTTTTTTTTTCTTGTTTTTTGCTTTGTCCCCAAATTAAAACCCCTTACATTCTCTGTGCAGGCATTTCTCCTTTCTTTGTTTCACGGTAAGCCCCTTTCAATTTGGGGGGGAAAAAACTTTCTTTCTTTACAAATACAAACTTTCCACTTCTTTCTATCTTAATCTTTATGTGGAGAATTCTTTCTCATGTGGTGCCATAAGTACACACCCTAATACAAGGCTCTCAGGGACCTAGAGAGTCTGGGTGCCAAAAGGCTTGAAGTAGACCCTTCATCAGTCCAGGGGACCAGATAGCTGCCATTGTCCTCTTTGGAAGTCATCTCAAATTGCTCTGTGCAGCTTGGTACCCCAGTTCTCTGAGGAACTCTAAATAGTGGCTCCCTACGCAGGGCAAACCTGCTGCCTCTGGCCTCTGCCTCCTTGCTCAGCTCCATCCCCAACCACTTGGTCCTCACTTCCAAAAGGAACAGCCTGAGACCACTGTGCTTACAACAAAGAGAATTGGACCTGGGTTAGGAAGTCCAGTGTTTTACCTGTTACTTCTAGGGTTTCAGTAAATTTGGGGGAAAAAAATGATTCCCCTGCCCAGGCTATTTTTCCCTCAGGGTTCCAGGAGCCTCATGGGAGCTTTTCTGGGATGTAGGGGGTGGTCCCCAAGCAGGGTGTGTTTGCTGAAGGATGCGTATAAACTTGCTGGGCTAGAGGGTGGCATGGAGAGGCTGGTGCTAGGGGAGCATCCCAGGCAGAGGCTCCAGCATAAATGGAGCAGCATAAATGAGCAGCATAAATGAACCCTTGCTCAGTGCAATTCCTCCTCCCATAGTCAGCCAACGACTCATGGGGCCCAGTGGAGAGCAGGAGCCTGCAAGGCCAAGAGACCTGGGGGATCACAACTCACAGAATGCCAAGGCCTCCATGTCTTGCTCTAGTACATGGAACTCATACTTTCTCTTTCCCAGTGATTACGAGGTTTATGCAGCACAATTCCCATGAATGAGGCTGTTGAAATTCTCTGAAATTCTCCTGGGCTTAGGGACAGTGTGGGGCATATTGAAAGAAGTCACATTTCCATAGAGGGCCTCAACTTCCTTCTATGACATAGTCAGAGTTTGGGATGCCCCAACATGGAAACCATGGCCTTAAAGTGCAAGGAATAAGAAATTCATCTCTTTGCATAAAATCAGGGCAGGAGACATAGCATTGAATTCATATTTCAAAGACATATTGGGCTATTTTTCCACAGAAAATCCAGAATAAGACCCCATGGGTTTGAGCCCTTGGTGACAGCGAAGTCACAGGGACTAAGACTCACCCATGCCCAGTATCCACAGGACACCAGGCTGGCTGCCCCAGAAGGTGCATGTAAACACAGCTCATATGGGGAGCAGGCTCCTTGTGAACAAACTTTTTGATCACCAACAAATTCCAACTACTTTGACCTTAAACCAAGACTCAGTGTACGTGTCCAATTCAGCAGACAAAGGCCTGTTAATCGTGAGTTTGGTTCCTTAGAGGTCGGGCTATAAGGGTGTGAGGGATGAAGGGGTTCAGGGGCAACTGTGAGTAGAAGCAGGGGCTAAAGTCAGCATCCTGGAGGGAGGCCTTGAGCACCTGGCTGCAATGCGGCGGCACCTGGAGAAGCGGGTAATGGGGCGGCATGTCTGGCTGGCTGGAAGACAGAGTTTTAGGCCACAGGGGTCCTGGACTTGCGGAAGATCATGCCAGCTGTGTCGAAGACAAGACTTTGGGACACAGGGTACACAGGGTGCACAGGGTGCCTGGGCTATTGGAAGGGGTGCCGGGGCTACTGGAAGGCATTCCTGGCTGTGTCGAAAGCAGACCTTTGGGCTGGAGGGTATACAGTGGGGCTGCACTGTGGCCAAGTTGAGGTACCTGTCCTGCAGGGAAGAGAAAGAGAGATGTCACTAAGATGGCATCAAGATTGGGCCTGGAAGGGTGTAGTGCCTGCCTCAGGGGGATCAGGTTTAGGACTTGTGAGAACCAATGGGGGGGGTTTTGCTGGTGCTCTTCCTCTCCCTGGAATCCTGGCAATCAGCCTCACTCCTTCTTCAGACTCACATCAGGCACTGAAAACCCCATTCTTCCTTTCCCAGGCTGCCCAGGGTGCTGCAAATCTAGATTCCTTTGGTCTGGGGGTGACTTTGTCTACATGATCCAGGCTGGGAGCCCGGGGAGCAAGGAGGAGACCCCTGTTCCCTTTGTGGCCTGGCACTTCCCAGAGGGTTTGGTGAGTGCGTGTTGCAGAAGAGCCTCACCACAGCCTTCAGGCCTGGCTGCAGGACCCCTGGTCAAAGGTGGGTGGGGCCACCCTTGGGTGGGTGATGTGCTTTGGAGGCAGCAGTTCCACAATTTCCTTGCTTTAGGAAGAGACTGATCTAGACCCTTGGGGACAACAAACTGTCTGCAGATCCAATTTCCCCTGGCTTTGCTATCACAATCCCACCCCTACCCCAATCCCATTCTGCTGGTTCAAGCTCAGCTGAGGACTCTCAGCCTTCACTCAGAGTGCTCACATGTGCCAAGGAGGGTGGCCAATGCACATGGGCCAGCTGGCATTGTCTCTGGCCCTTCTAACTCCAGGAAATTGTAAAGCCATTAAGAAGGGGTCTTCACATTCCATGAGGCAGCACACCTCATGGAGGGGGACCACTTCAGCCTTTCTCAGACCCTCAGTGCACTTCCAGAGGGCAGTTACTAGAAGACCACGGGGCTGCCTCAAACCCAGAACACCAAAGGAACCTGGAGCAGCCAGGCCTTTAGGAGTAGGGACTAAACAAAGGCCTCTGACTATGGTCCTTCCTCCAGGTTGCCTGTGACCACTGCCCAAATGTATATAATTCCACTTCAAGCTCTCCTGCTCTTCTATACCTGAGCTGTGATGTGCCTCACAATGTGCACAGGGCAGAATCAGACAGATCTTGCTCAAAGAAGTTTCTGTTTCTGTGGTTTGCCATGGTCACCTGAGTAAGGGTCCTGAAAGATCCCTGAGTCCCAATCCTTGGAACTTCTGGCTAGGACATTTTATGTGGCAAAAGACACCTTGCTGCTGTGATTAAGTTAATAGTCCCGGGAGGAGGGATGATTAGGCTGAATTATCTGTGTGGGCTTCATGCAATCCCAAAGGTCCAAGAAGAGGGAGCAGAGAAACATTTAGCCACTGAAGAGAAGAACAAAGACCAGATGAAGATGGAAACGGAGGTATTTGGGACACTGCACTGCTGGCTCTGTGGATGGAGGGAAGGGGCATGAGCCAGGTGGTGCTGGGATACAGCTCCCAATGCTGGAAAAGGCAAGGATGCGGATTTTCCCAGAGTCTCAGGAGAGAGTGTGGCACTGGTGACACCTTGGTTTGAGCTTGATGAATCCCACTTCAGACTTCTGGTCTTCATAACAGAAAATACATTTGCATGGGTTGAATCCACTGTGTGGTAATTTGTCACAGCAGAAACAGGAAACGGATGCACTTCCCTAGGACAACCTGCAGTGAAAGCCCTGCTCTCCACATTCCTGAAGGCAAGAGGAGCAGGAGAGGGCTGAACAAGCCCTTTGCTAAAGACACAGCACTGTCTGATTCACCCATGAAGTTTCTTGCCTCATTGCCTTGGTGCTGGAACTACTATCATCCAGGATGAAGGGTTGGCCTCAGAGGGCAGAACTAGAGTGTGTTCCAGCCCAGACCTCTGTTCACTAAGGGATTGGAAGCAGGTTCCATACCTCAGTGATTTCCACCACACAATACAGGTAATTACTCCCAGACCCTGCAGTGCAGTAAGGAGTAGCTTAAGGCAGGGAAAACTCAGCAAAGTGCGGGAGTTGATGACAATCCTCTGTGAGGAGCAAGGGAAGCTGCTGTGGCCCTCCAGGCCCTTCTCGGCTCTGCCTACAGGGCTACTTGTCTTGTTGATGTCCTCTGGCTCTGATATCTGCAGTAATCAGGGTTTTACTGATTTACTGGGTTTTAGTGTCCCCATTGTGGTCACTTTCAGTCCTGGGGATCTCTGTGTCATTAACTTGCCAGTGGCTATAACATACTGTTAGGACAGCCTGCATAGGAGGACACAGAGGTCCCAAGATGGGTGCAAAGACTGAGGGCCTGCATGTTGTCTGTGGTAGAAAAACTCAGGGGCTTAGGCAGGTGCTAAGAGCTGGACTTAAAATGGAACCATGCTCTTTGGTTATTATAGACTTGTAGTATAATTTGAAGTTGGGTAATATGATGCCTTCAGGTTTGTTCTTTTCACTTAAGACTACCTTGGTTATTTGGATGCTTTTTTATTTCAAATGAAGCTTAGAGTTATATTTTTTTCTTGACTTGCAAAGTATGATGTTGGTATTTTGATGGAGATTTCATTGAATTGATAAATCACTTTGGACAGTATGAACAAATTTTAATAATGCTGATTCTACCAATCGATGATGATGAGATTTTTTTCCATTTATTTGTGTCTTCTGCAATCTTTCATCAGCGTTTTGTAGTTCTCTTGTAGAGGTCTTTAACCTCCTTTGTTAAATATATTTCTAAGTATTTTATTTTATTTGGAGCTATTATGAATGATATTGAGTCCTCAGTTTACTCTAATTGGCTGTTCTTAGTATATAGAAATGCTACTTATTTGTATACATTGATTTTGTAACCTGAGATGGGTGAATTCATTTATCAATTCCGGGAGTCTTTTGGTAGAGTCTTTAGGATTTTCAAGCTACAGGATCATATTGTCAGCAGAGATGATTTGACCTCCTCTTTCCTGATTCAGATAATTTTTATTCCCTTCTCTTGCCTGATTGCTCTGCTAGGACATCCAATAATATGTTGAATAGAAGTAGTAATAGTGGGCATCCTCGTCTTATTCCAGTTCATAAGGGGAATGCTTTCAACTTTTCTTTATTCATTATGAGGTTTGGTTATGAGTTTGTCATATATGACTTTTATAATTTGGGGGTATGACTACTTGTTGAGAATTTTTATCATGAAAGGATGATAGATTTTATTGAAAGCCTTTTCTGCATCTATCAAGATGATCATACGGTCTTTGTTTTTGTTTCTGTTTATGTGGTGAATCACATTTATTTATTTGTATATATTAAGCCATCTTTGTACTCATGGGATGAAACCCACTTGATCATAGTGGATTCTCTTTTTGATGTACTGTAGAATTCAATTTGCTAGTATTTTGTTGAGGATTTTTGCATCTTTTCTCATATGCTCATAGAGCTATTGGTTTGCAGTTTTCTGTTTTTGTTGTATCCTTTTCTGGCTTTGATATCAGGGTGATACGGGCTTCAAGGAGAACACAGGCCAATGGAACAGATCAGAGAACCTAGAATTAAAACCAGCTACTTATAACTAACTAATCTTTAGCAAAGCAGACAATAACATAACACTAGGAAAAGAAAGCCCTATTCAATAAACAGTGATGGGAAAATTGCACAGTCATATACAGAAGAATGAAAAAGGATCTATATCCCATATGCAAAAATTAACTCCAGATAAACTAAAGACTTAAATGTAAGGCACAAATCCATTAAAAATTCTAAAAGAAAATGTAGGGAAAATTATTTATTTTTTGGAGGGGAGGAAAATATTTTAGACAAAGAAGTTATGACTCTGACTTCAATGCTAAATATACTAACAACAAAAATGAATAAATAGGACTATACTGGAGCTAAAAAGCTTCTGCACAGCAAAGTAAAATAATCAACAGAGTGAACAGACAACCTATAGAATGGGAGAAAATATTCATGAACTATACATCTAACAGAAGACGGATATCCAGAATCTATAAAGAACTCAAACAAAGGAGCAAGAAAAGTAATAATCAATCCCATAAGAAAGTGATCAAAAGACATGGCTAGAAGATTTTTGAAAAAAGACACATGACCAGCAAACATGAAAAAATGCTCAAATTACTAATCATCTGGGAAATTCAAATTAAAACTACAATGAAATACCAACTTACCCCTATCAGAATGACCATTACTAAAAAAGAAAAAATAGATGTTGGCAAGTATGCAGAGAGAAAAGAACACTTATACACTGTTGGTGGGACTACAAGTTGGTACCACCACTATGGAAAACAGTATAAAGATTCCTCAAGAAATAAATGTAGATTTAGCATCTAATCCAGCAATCCCACTGCTGGGTATCTACCAAAGGAAATGAAGTCATTTTATCAAAAAGACACATGCGCTCAAATGCTTATCACAGCTCAATTCATAAATTTAAAGATGTGAAATAAAAATCTACCTAAGTGCCCTTAAATTCATGAGTGGATAAAGAAAATGTGAGATGTGAGACACACACACACAACGGAGTACTACTCGGCCACAAAAAAAAGAATGAAATAATGTCATTTGCATCAATCTGGAAGAAACTGGTGACCATTAGATATAAGATATAAGATTAAGATATAAGTAAAGTTATCTCAGGAATGGGAAACCAAACACCATAACTCCAACACCAAACATTCACTAATAAGTAGGACCTAATAGATGGGTACATAAGAGCACGAAGCAATTTAAGACATGAGAAACCATGGCAGGAGGGTGGGTAAGAGATTAAAAACTTATCTCTTGGATATAAAGAATACTATTCCAGTGATGGGTGTGCCAAATGCCCTGACTTAAGCATTATGCAAGATATCCTGGTAATAAAGACATTTTTTACCCCCTTAATTAATATTTTGAAATGAAAAACAAATGGATACAATTTCTCTACATCCTCACCAGCATTCATTATTTTTCATCTTTTGGATAATAGCCACTCTCACTGTGGTTTTTATTTGCATTTCACCCAATGGTTAGGGATATTGAGCTTTTTTTTTTTTTTTTTAGAGGTTTTTGGCCAGGGCTGGGTTTGAACCCACCACACCTCTGGCATATGGGGCTGGTGCCCTACTCCTTTGAGCCACAGGCATTGCCCAGAGTATTTTTTTTTTTAACATCTGTTATCATGTGTGTGTCTTCTATTGCTGTGATGCCTCCTTTTAACATGGGATTTATTTGGGTTGTGTCTCTCTTTTTTTTTTTT